AAAACTTATGTCACAGACAAGATATTAAGCTTCAAACAAGCTAAAAGGTGTTAAAAAATTGTGAATAACTTGCCACCTAGAATACAAACTTTTAATAATACATGTATTTAATTTTTGTTACTTTTGGTTTGACCGATTTTGTTTTTGCATTTGGATGTGTTTTTAGTATTGCTTGTTACACATTTGTCTTTGTTGTTATAGGTTCATAGTGAGAATAATGTGTTCAGTGTTGGGTCTGCATGTCCGGCAGAACAGTCCACGCTTACGGGACAAAACCGGCCAACTTTACATCTGCAATCACGTTACACATTTCGACCACAATATTATCAACCTTCTTACCTCCTGTAACACGGTGAGTGTCTATGTGCGTCTCAGTGTTTTCCCAGCATGATGTAATCTTTTTCTCCTCCTCTGCTCTGCCCTTGACCTCTGTCTTTTGGTTCTTTCATTGGTTTACTCACACAATGAGGTCTATTTCTCCTTTGGCAGCTGTGCTGACTTAATGTTGGGCCAGAGGCCAGTGAATGAGGTTTAGTTCTCTCTGTTTGCTTACTTCAAATGATTCAATTTGTTTGGTTGCAGGGCAGGAGGAATAACTAAATTCATTTTTAAACGTTAAGTCATGCTTGAATTCCTGTCTGCATGAGTTGACCGAGGATTTAGTTTGAAAATAAATGTATGTATTATATATTTTAAATGTATATTTTTGTTATAAATAATTGTTTGTAACTACATTAAAATAAACATAAAATTTAAGAATCACAGTTAGTGTATTAAGTCATTCAATTATTATAAACTTAAACATATAATATACGTAATATGTAATTTACACAACATTTACACAACTATTACAGTTTACATTATATGCTCAGCATAGATAGATTCAAGTTTGTGTTCAGAAATATATATATATTTTTTCATAATATTTTTATTCTGCAAGGACACATTAAGTTTTATCAAAACTGACAAAATTTATAGGCCTAATGTTACAAAATATTTCCAGTTAAAATAAATGCTGTTTTTTTATTTTTTATTCTTTCTATTCATTAATGAATCCTGAAAAACTATCACAGATTTCACAAAAATATTAAGCAGCACAGCTGTTTTTATCATTGATAATAGGGGTCATATGACTCTGAAGACTGGCGTAATCATGCTAAAAATTCAGCTTTGCATCACAGGATCAAAATTACATTTTAAAATATATTAAAATAGAAAACAGTTATTTTAAATGTTAATAATATTTCTTCATACTGATTTTACTGTATTTTTGATCAAATAAAATGCAGCCTTGGTGAGCAAAAGACACTTCAAAACATTAGCATAATAACATTAGCAAAATATTTTTCCTGACCACTAACTTTTAGATGAGGGGTGTCAATAACAAATAATCACAGACCCCTCACCCAATAAACATACTGGGTGCCAGCATGTCTGGGAACGACCCCAGGCCCCTGGTTACCAAGGCAACCAGGACCCCTCAGCCAGATCAGATAAACTTTTATGACCTAAAAGTATGTAGAGCAGGGGTGTCAAACTCAGTTCCTGGAGGGCCGCAGCCCTGCATAGTTTAGTTCCAACCCTGCTCCAACACACATACATGTAGTTTTCAAATAAGTCTTAATGACATGATTAGCTGGATCAGGTTTCTTTAATTAGGGTTGCATCTAAACTGTGCAGGGCTGTGGCCCTCCAGGAACTGAGTTTGACACCCCTGTTTTAGGGTGTTTTCACACTTGAGTCCTCTTTAAAAGAACCGAACCAAGACGTGGACCAAGTGAAAAAAGACCCAGTTTTCTTTGTGTTCACACTATCGCAGTTCCTGAAATAGGACTCAGATCCTTTTTTTGGTCCACTTAAGCAGTAATGGTGTCTCAGACCTCTTTGTGTTCAGACTGTTGCTTTTTGGATCTAGTCCAGTTCAGTGTTTGATGGCTGACATTATCACAAAAATATAAGTTTCGTACGCCCTTGTAATATTGTATAAACAAGGAATTGTTTTCCTTGTCTATGTCATTGTGTTTATTTTATAGCACACTGGGTTTCTGCAGGATTTTTAAGCTCAAATTTAAGACTGTTTTTAAGACCTGCACAGATAAAATTAATGCCATATGAGTGGGGTGGGGCATTGTTTTAAAATGACTGTAAAAAGCATGATTTACAGTTCAGATACAGGTTTTCACAAAAAAATATTTAAAAAAATTAAATAAAATTTCAAATTAAATTTGTAAGAAAAGAGTCAAAAATCAAATGTATCAATTATTATATTAATGGTTTAATGGCTGGTTTAATATCAATTATTATTTTAAACCAGCAGAAGGGCTGTTTTTGTGGGGAAGTCGTGGCCTAATGGTTAGAGAGTCGGACTCATAACCCAAAGGTTGTGGGTTCGAGTCTCGTACCGGCAGGGATTGTAGGTGGGGGGAGTGAATGTACAGCGCTCTCTCCCACCTTCAATACCACGACTGAGGTGCCCTTGAGCAAGGCACCGAACCCCCAACTGCTCCCCAGGCGCCGCAGCATAAATGGCTGCCCACTGCTCCGGGTGTGTGTTCACGGTTTGTGTGTGTTCACTGCTGTGTGTGTGCACTTTGGATGGGTAAATGCAGAGCACTAATTCCGAGTATGTGTCACCATACTTGGCCACATGTCACGTCACTTTCACTTTCACTTTCAAAAAATGCAAATTCATTCTCTGCCAGCAGGTGGCGCTTTTAGAACTGCATAAAGATAGGCTTTGAAACATGCAGCGCTCATATTTATCCAATGAAATCATAGCCTTTTTCATTTTAATCATCACATTAAGCTATATGACAATTGTCTTTCCGTCCCCATTGTACTCTTTATGGCCTTAAATTTGATACAATTAAACGCAAAACTTTTTAAGGACCAGCGGAAAAGGCATGCTGACATTGAGATTATTTAAAATTAAATTGGACAAATAAAATAAAAGAAAATATAATAAACTGCTTTACATTTTTCAGGTACAGTACAGGTATCCTTAAATGCAGCATTTAAGTAAGAAATGTACTAATCAAATTAAAAAAATTAAATGCATATTATTAATCGTATGAATACTAGATTCTACTGATCCTCATATTAGGCTGCTGTACTAGAACTACATACTGCACAGATCAGTTACACATGCAATTTCTTTCCCAAATGTTTACATTCGATTGGGACAAAACCAACTGTGTTTATGTGAACCATGGGTGTTTTTGACAGTTGAAACAATAAACGCTAAAGAGAGTGTAGTTTAGCCCCCGCTGGGATGTGCGCGCTCGTAGCCTATATCAAAAAGTTTAAACTGGCAAGGAACAAAGCCGCGTTTCTCTTACACAGTTTGGAAGCGGTTGAAATTAAAATAAACGAGTGTACGTTGTGAGCGATCAATTTGTAGAGATCTGCCAGAAGAAGCAGCCACTATGAACAGCTGATTTGTACGGAAACATCTGATGGCCAAACTACATTGGAATTCGCAAATGGAAAAATCAAGTGAGCCCGGGCCGATTTGCGTTCACAATGCATGTTTTTAGCGAACTGTACCTTTAGCCAAAAGCGAACCGTACTCAGACCACCTCCCGAGATGGTCTCGGTTCGGTTAGCTTCTGAGGGGTCTGAGATCGTTTAGAGAGTTCACATATGGGCCAAAAATCACGAGAACCGTGCTCAGACCCCTGAAAAGTACCAAGTGTGAAAACACCCTTAGATGGTAGTGTATGCATTGCTCAGATGTATTTTAAAATGTACTTTTACCTTCACACAATGTTCCCTACTTGATTCAGCTTCAATAATAAAAGAATAAGATACTTTTAATGACTGTATAGCCCTTTATATTTATTTTACACATTTCATTAATGTGAACTTCATGACTAACATCATGCTTTAGCTAATCAGCTACATGTAACCATGTTTTCCTGTCTGTTTCTTTGTGTTTAGCCACTGCTGGAGGGCCCTGTGGGGTTCCTGTGCTGGGCGAGAGGTTTTATGGAGCTGGGTCAGGGTGTACAGAGCAGTGCGGAGCTGACAGAGACTCTCCGCAGGTATTGCTCATCTCCTGCCGCTTTACCCCTCCTGCTTTTTCCAGAGGAGGACACCACCAACGGCCGAAACGGCCTCCTTAAGTTCAGGTACTCCAACATCACACAGCTGCCATCAAAACAATATTCTTTTTTACTTTTGACTATTGTCAATTAATTTAAGTGCTTTTTTCAGCTTTTAAAGCTGCTTTAAAGAAAATCCTAATGTTTATATCTTAATAACTTGATGCTTTATAGTCACATTTAGCAGATTACAAGCAATCAAGTAGCTAATTGCTATATAGCAACTCTGTTCCCCTTTCGGGCTCTGTCTTTACATTTATTTTTACATTTACTTTACATATGACCCCTTTAAAGACTCATAAAGACATTTACCGCCACCTGCTGGCATATCACAGATGAGGAAAGAAATGGTCAAATCAGAAAAAAATCAGAAGGGAAGTTCGTGATAGTTCTTGAAGCTGTTGAATTTAATTGAACACCAGTTTATATCAACATATCAATAATGTCATGCAAGTTATGCATGATGCAAGTATACCCAATATATTTCTAAATTCTTACCTAATTAGAACAGCATGATTGCGATTGTGTGATACTTCTTTATAGAAACATGTTCTAAAAGAGGTTCATATTAGGTTAGTTGACCCATAAATTAAAATTCTGTCATGAATTACTCACCCTCATGTCGTTTCAAACCCGTAAGACCTTCGTTCATCTTCGGAACACAAATTAATAAAATAATCCATGTGACATCAGTGGTTCAACAATAATTTTACGAAGCTACGAGAATAATTTATGTGCGCAAAAGAAAAAAAAAAAACGTCTTTATTCAACAATTCGTCTCCTCCGCGTCACCCTAGTGCCATTTTGGAGAGTATCTGCTGGACGTAAACAGCATATGCTCTATACACTGTTTACGTATCACTCTATAACAAGCATAATACGAAGTTTTTTATACAAGTGTAATAACAGTAATAGTTGCAGATTGTTTTATTTAGACTATAAGTCTATGGTAATTCACAAATTACCTTTACCTCAAACGCCATACACAGCGTTTGCTTTAGATTGGCAGGTTTGAGCGCAGGGAAATACAGTTTATTCTGCATTCAGCAAATTAATTTTGTGTTGGGCGATGGACCTTGTTGGGAAACCAAATAATACATCGCCGATCTGGAGCCATCTCCATTCATGTCACCCATCCGCGTTCGTACAAGTGTCTGATCGCAAACGCCTGGCTGGTCAGGTTTGGTGAGACTTTCTCCAAACTGGCCAAATACAATCGAGACAGCGATAAATGGTAGATGTTAACAAGAAATGTGGGAACGATTCCTATTTCAAAGAGAGCGCGTGCAGATGAGGAGTTAATGCGCCCGCTTGCTTGGCAGTGAAACAGTGAACCGTGTCTACACCGGACACGACACCGCCGCGTTGCAACAGGTTGATTGTGTCTAGTGTCTACACAGGACATTTGAACTTTGTGTCAGTATTTCATAAATAGGACAAGGCAGTTTACTGTCGGGGATTTGTCGTGTCGTGTCGTGCCGCATCCAGTGTAGCATCACTGATTATAATGAGTTCTATAGCCTAGCATTTTGTAGTGTCGTGTCGCGCTGCGCCACTCGCGTCCTGTAGACAGTGTGTATTTAACTTTCTTATTTAGGCTACTTTCTTGTTTAACTGTATTATTTCTTTGATATTTATTTTAGTGTTTTGCAGGCTGCGTATTCACTGACGGAAGTGCTAAAATAAACACGCATGTTTTGTTAATATATTGATCCTTAGATGATTGATTTATTATTGTTTGTGTTTCAACATTATAAATAAAATAAATTAATAAATAAAATTTTTATGCATAAATTCTATAATTAATATTAATTATATATATATATCAACACCGCACCACCGGCGGTAGTTGGTCCATTACCACCGCGGTGGTAAAAATCTGCCACCGTCACAGCCCTAGATGCAGGGTAACAACTCCATAAATGCAGTTATTCAAGATATGGGGCAAAATGCCCCTGTATGAGTTTTTGTCTTATATTTATATCACATGATAAGCGATATCACACGAGCAGCGAGAGCAATATCACACGAGTGCTGTTTGTCCCGAATAGCATGAGTGCAAATGTGATTTTACATAACGGTTCAGTAAATAAGAAGTTAATATTGTGTTGTATTCTTTATTATATTTAGTTTTTTCGCAGTTTTGCCAACAAAAATATTACCTATAAAGCCACAGCAGAACTGTTGCGTGTCTGTGAGAGGCGCAGCTGTGTTTAGTTTCTAAATGAATAAGCCGTTTGAATGAATCGAATAAAAGGGGTCATATGATGCGATTTCAAGTTTTCCTTTCTCTTTGGAGTGTTACAAGCTGATTGTGCATAGATAAGATCCCTGAAGTTGCAAAGACTAAAGTCTCAAAACCAAAGAGATATTCTTTATCAAAGTTAAGACTCTGCCACACCCCCCTAAAACGGCTCGTTCTAACACGCCCCCACATATCTACCTCACTATGTGGAAATATTTGCGTAATGCCGCCCAAATGTTCATGCAAAGAAAGAAGGCGTGGTTTCAGTAACCGCAGTTAGTGTTGAAGCAGCCATGTCAGGGAGACGCTGTGTGTTTCTAGGCGAAAGCAAAAGCACTTTATTTGGCCTTCCGAAAGTAGATGCATTTAGGAATCTTTAAGATTACTTACAACAGAACAGCAATGCATTTTATCTCATTCTTCCCACTGGTCTCCCTTTTGCAACTAACTTTCTCAGCTGGTCGCACGAGCACATGATTTGGTCGCAATATTTATTTATTTATTTTTTTTATTGTTTTTTTGTGCTACAACATGGGATTATTCAATGCATGCTGATCAACTTTTATCATAGTTTATAGTTATATGGAAAGAGCCTCCATAGTTTAAGGTAAACAGCAAAGGTAAGTTTTTCAAAAATGAAAACAAAAAGAAAAGTAAAACTAACGGTGACTGTGCTAGCATGTTTTTTCCCCCCACAAGAATACCAGCATGTTCACCTTCTCTGGTTTAAGAAGCGGTCTTTTACTTGACTTTCGCTTGAAAACCATCCATGGTTCCCTCAATATGCGTGTCAGTTTTGCTGTGCGTACCCTCGCGCTCGTGCTGACGCGGCGAGTATACTCTCTAAGTGCTGTTTCGTTATGCTTTCAGTTTCGTTTGCCGTTTGATGTTTCTCATATGCAACAGAAATGGCAGCGCTTATGAGTTGAACAACACGGTGGTCGCGCCAGTGCGACCGCACACAAAATTTAGTCGCACAGGCAGAAAA